AAAGAGTGTTCCATCTACACTTTGTGGCTAAGAGCCACTGATGGACCTCTGCTCCATATATTTATTCAGTTCCCTATCGTGCAAAAGGGAGAAGGGAATCACACTGCAGAATGTATAATTATTTTTTATTTCCATCTTGTTCGGCATCCCAAAGCATTCCTGGCTGGTAGAGTGATCCCAATTCTGCAGCGTTAAGTAATATACAAAGAACGTGCGTTGTCACGGAATGTGCTATGGAGTCACAGTTGCTCTGGGCAGATGGCGAGGGCTTTTGGGTTGGAAGGAGGTCACTGGTGCATGCTGTTAGCTGAGGGGACGGGGCGAGGAGACTGACCCCTTCTGGGCGCGCTGCTCTGACTGCCCTGCGGACTCGTGGCTTTGCCGCTCCTGCCGGGAGAGGAGGACATTCATGGTCTCTCGCATGTCCTCCAGGAGTGACAGTTGTGCCTGTGCAATCTGCGTTTGCACCTGGATATTGTTGTGGATGCACTCAAAGAGGCCAAAGCACTCCTGGGGCTGATGTTCAGGTGCTGGGGAAGGAAAGGAGATACGCGCATGTGTTGGCTTGCTGGGTTTTGCTTTCATGAATCTATACCCTCGCCCCTCCCTCAGACTCTGAACACACATGAAGCTGTTTTATATTGAATCAGACTCTTGAACCAACAAAGTCAATATTTTCCACTTAGACTGGCAGTAACTCTGCAGGCTGTCAAGGCTGTGGTCTTTCCCATCACCTACACGCCGATCCTTTTAACTGGAGGTATTGGGGATTGAACCTGGGACTTCCTGCATGCAATGTGGACACTCTTTAGGGGGCCATACTCCCTAAACTAATGAAGAAGAAGAGTAGGCTTCTATACCTTGCTTTCCTCTACCTTAAAGAGCATTGAAGCAGCTTACAATCGCCTTCCCAACAGGCATCTTGGGAGATCGGTGGGGCTGAGAGAGTTCTGAGAGAACTGTGACTAGCCCAAGGTCACCCTGCAGGCTTCACATGGAGGAGGAGGTGTGGAATCCAGCCTGGCTCTCCAGATTAGAGTCTGCCACTCTTTAACCACTACACCACACTAGCTCACACATGAAACAGATAATTGGTCTATCAAGGTCAGTGTTGTCTAGTAAGACTGTCAGCGGCTCTCCAGGGTCTCAGGCTGAGGTCTTTCACATCACCTACTGCCTGGTCAGAGAATGAACCTGGGACCTTCTGCATGCCAAGCAGATGCTCTACCACGGAGTCACGGGCCCTCCTAAGTGGGCACCGCAACAGGAATCCGTATCACCAGAGGAGACTGCATCCAATTCCCTGGCGTTTTCCCACCATTTCCAAGGCTGCTTCCATACAGAGGTGATTCCCCGTTTTGCTCCCATTGCTTAATGCAGCTTCTGCGAAGAGATTTTTCACTCATGCCCACTATTTCCCCTCCTGGCAGGCTGAGGTCTTTCACATCACCTACTGCCTGGTCAGAGAATGAACCTGGGACCTTCTGCATGTCAAGCAGATGCTCTACCACTGAGCCACGGGCCCTCCTAAGTGGGCACCGCAACAGGAATCCGTATCACCAGAGGAGACTGCACCCTGGCATTTTCCCACCATTTCCAAGGCTGCTTCCATACAGAGATGATCCCCGGTTTTGCTCCCATTGCTTAATACAGCTTCTGCAAAGAGATTTTCCACTCATGCCCACTATTTCCCCTCCTGGCAGGCTTTTTGTTCAATGTTTGTTTTGGTAGGAATATTGTTGTAGTCTTAGGACACTATAGTCATATGTCTACTGCTGATTTTTTTAAAAGGCAAAAAGCCCACTGGTGTGGGAGTGGGGTGGGGAATGGGAGGCAGGAGGAGAGCAGGTATGGGCAGGGAGGTGTGAAAGCCCACATCTTCCCAGCCACGCTCTCCTCAAACTCACTGTGGGTATGGTCTACCGGGAATGGTTTCCCACAAGCAGGTTCTGGGAAACTGCAGGGCAAAAATGTGGAAAACCCAGAAAGTAGACAGCTGGCACAACGACGTGAAAGGTCAATTTAAAACTGATGCTGGAGGGGGAGAGCTCTGTGTGGAAGCAAACCCAGCTTAATCTTGAACCCCAAAGACTGGCCCAAACGGGAAGGCCTTGCGACTCATCCCTAAAGGTACTCAGACTTTGGTGAGTTTGCAATGGCAGGAAGTTCTGTTGGGGGAGGAGCAGATACAAGAATGCCTTGAGTGTCTTAACCTGATGCAAAGATGGGTATTTACCAACCTGCCCTTTCTTCAGGTTCCACCTCAGTGTATTGCCTGCATGATATTCTTCCTTCAGTTGTTTTCCTTCTCACCGTCTCTTAGCTTCCCGTGACCTCTCCCCAGTCTCCAACCATTCCTCATGTGAAGTTCTAAACCCCATCCAAGCAGGCAATTTTCCTGTCCCTCATAGAAGTTGGACCGCAAACTACTACATTCCCCCGAGCAACTGAACATTCCGTGGCATTGCACCTGCACAGCCAATCAGTCTCAGATGTATTACCTCCCCAAACGCATCGTGTGTTGAATCTGGCTTGTGGCACAATCACCAAAAATGTTTGCCACCACCGGGTTACAGCTTCCAGGACTCCTGACTACACACAAACATGAAGTACAACAGGATTTCTATCACTTACAGAAATGTCTCTTTCCTTTCCCTCCCCTAGCCGTCTGAGTATATGGAAGGCTCGGGCTAGGCCTCCACTGAGTAGCCGGAATCTCTAGGAAACTGGGGGAGGGTTTGGCAGGACACAGGGGCTTAAAAGAAGCAGGTGGGCCTTCAGATTCATCTCCTGCTGAGAAAGAAAGAGAGCAGAGGAGGGAAAATACATTTTGCATGGCCTGAACATCTGGAAACTTGAGATCAATTCACACATTATTTTCTTCTGGGGTGGCAAACAGTCATGTGTCACTCATTTCACAGGCTCTGGTAACAGCTAGTATTCCCTGTCTAATGGAAAAATTATTCTGCCTGAGAATAAGGGGCAAAGTAAGCACGTGTGTCAGGCCAGCCTGCAACTGCTGCAGAAAATGGCAGCTGTGAGTCTAATTTCAGCACACACTTATTTGTGTTCTGACCTCATGCCATTCCATGTTTCCTCCTCTGCATCAGTGGCTGCTGCTGGCAGGGTGCAGGGGAAACACAGAATAGGTATGGTGTCAAGAAACAGATGAGTTCAGCCGGATGCCATCAATAGGGGGCTGAGCTAAACACATGGCTGCCATTTGGGGCAGCAGTTGCCTGTTTTGCCCGCTATCGATGCTTGCTCTGAATTTTCCTTAGTGGGATAAATACTAGCTTTCACCGTGTGGGGACTGCATTCAAAAGAGCTTGAAGCTGCCCAGTAACATGGCAATCAGCTTATCCCCATTGAATTGTGGAGCTAACATCTGTGCTGCTTTTTGCATTTTAAAAGGGGAAAAAAAAATCCCCTTTAAAATGTGAATAGCAACTGAAAGAGTTCAGGTTCACCTGACAAAACAGCACAGGGTCGAAGGATTCCATCCCCTATCCCTCCCCAATGCAAATCCTCAGTGCCTCAACACAACCAGAGGCCTCATGAGACTCCCATTTGCCTTTCACAGACTGGCAAGTTAGGAACAGAGGTTTTGCTTCGGTTCAATGTCTACATCGCAGCGGGGTTTATTTTGGAATATCCGTATTCCATTGTCCCCATACCACTGACTTTCCATTTTGACCTTGCTTTCCTATGATCCTTCCCAAACATCTCAGTCAGCCCGCATAGAGCAATATGTCAATTACCAATGTGAAGCTATGGTGAAGCTACGTCAATTGCCAGGCAACTACCAGGAATGGAGGTGAGGGGACCAGTTCTGGCAAGGAAAGTGCACAGAAAACTACCCGTGTAGGTGCTTCGTTGCTGCTGCAGAGGCAGTGGAGGTGTCAGGTGGTGTGGGCTCAAGCCTCAATGACTGCAGGAACAGGGTAGCCCTGGAACCATTCTGGGCAGACACCAAAGGAGAGCTCCGCTGGTGGAGAGCTCATCTGGCACTTGGCTGGGTAGCTGCCGGTCAGGGGCTGGGGTGGTAGATGCCAGAGAGCTGCGGCCTTTCCTCTCACCACTGAATGCCCAGGAGGAAGATGGCACAGCTCTAATTCTCTCATTGCCAAGACCTTGTGGGACAGCTGGGACTTGTGCACGAAGACTACAGGAGAGCAGGAATGTCACACCCTCCCTCCTTCCTGGTGGAACCCAGCAAGCCATCTGAGCCACAGGTAATCATTGCCCCGTCTGTCTGTGCTCTGATTAAGCATCCTCGTATGCAGTGTCCCAAAGCGATATGGCTAAGGAGCACTTCAGGCTATTTATAGAGGGTCATCTCTCAGTGGACTGACAGTGAAAGACTAGCAAAGGGGACACGGCAAAGTTTGTAAGCGGGAAATCTGCTGTTGTGCTGCTCCTACCAAGGAGGCCCTGGACAAGCCACCCATTGTTCTTCAGATGGTAAGGGCATAACCCAAAAGTTGGCAACTCTAGTTAAATTAATTAATCCATTTAATTAATTAACAGGTTTAGCTTGGCTTGGGTTATCTAAAGACAGTAAGAATCAAAACACCTACGTGGGACTTGCGAGGATCTTCTTGTACCTGAAAAAGACAACAATTACTGTGGGGCAGCTGCTTGATAAAATCAATCTGGTAAGTTTTCTCCCTATCGCTGTAACCTGAAGTCCTCCCTCCCTCCCGATGCTGAATCCCAACAGTTCCCTGCACCACATCCGCAATCAAAATTGAGGTCCCATGTAGCTACCGTTTTTTAAAATGTTAGGAAGTGCCATTCGCAGATCTTCCAGGCTCTTGGATGGTTGGGCCTTACAGAAAATGAGAGGCCACGTCAAAGCGAAACTTGATTTAATTTTGTGTGAGTGTAAATCCTAGGCAGTAAGCCACTGGATAGCTCAGATGTTTGGTTGTCATCTGTCTTGTTCGACTTTCTCGTCCACTCACTGCCTCAGTGTTAAAGGTAAAGGTTCCCTTGCTCGAAAGCCAGTCGAGTCCGACTCTAGGATTGTGGTGCTCATCTCTGTTTCAAAGCCGAAGAGCCAGCGCTGTCCGAAGACATTTCCGTGGTCATGTGGCCGGCATGACTAAACACCAAGGCGCACGGAACACTGTTACCTTCCCACTGAAGTGGTACCTATTTATCTACTTGCAATTTCTTGCTTTCGAACTGCTAGGTTGGCAGGAGCTGGAACCAGAGATGGGAGCTCAGTCCATCATGCGGCACACTCGGGTCTCGAACTGCTGAACTACCGACCTTCCACAGCCTGCAGTTCAGCGTCTTAACCACTTGAGCCACAGCAGCTCAACAAGTATTATTAGGCAACAGCTATTGTGGGAATGGAGATATTCAATTGTATTATTGTCTGCCATCAGTTTGTTTTAATGATATATATATAGTGTGTGTGTATGGTTTTCATGATATTTATATATAATCGTTGTACCTATATTATAGTTATTATTTTGTTGTCACCTGCCCTGACCCTTGCTGTGCAGGGGAGGACGGGCTAGAAATCAAATATATATATATATATTTTAATGAAGTTAAAATAATAGAATCATAGAGTCAGAAGGGGCCATGCAGGCCACCTAGTCTCAGGATCAGCCTAAAGCATCCCTGACAGGTGTTCATCCTGCTGCTGCTTGAAGACTGCCATGGAAGGGGAGCTCACCACCACCTCCCTAAGCAGCCAGTTCCACTGCTGAACTGCTGTTGCTGTAATAAAAATTTCCCCCTAATATCCAGTGGGTTTCTTTTCCCCCGTTATGTAAACCCATGATTGCAAGTCATATCCTCTGAGGCCAACAGAAACAGCTCCCTGCCCTCCTCTAAGTGACAGCCCTTCAAATACTTAAAGAGAGCAATCATACCCCCCCCAAACACACACACACACAACCTCCTCTTCTCCAGACTGAACATTCCCAAGCCCCTCAGCCTCTCCAGGCTCCTCCAGCTGTACAAGAGGAAGCATTTTCATGGTGTTCTTTGAAAGGGGCATTTAGGGACATGGTCTGAAGAAATGCAAGCATTAAAACAGGGATTCCCAATGAGGTGTCCGTGTGGGTGCCGTGTCATCCGTGGTCATGTGTCCTGGCACCCCCTTGCCTCTTCCCCAAAACTTCTCATCCTGAAAGAAAATAGCCAGTCTTGCCTTCCCTCCACTTCAGAGGTACTTCAGAAGTGCCCAGGAAGCACTACCTTTGTTTCTGCAGGGAGCACTGAATCTTGAAGGAATGGAGGTTATGCTGGTGGGAAAGGCTGAAGCCTTGGAGGGCACTCTCTCTCTCTCTCACTGACTCCGTTAAGGGTGTAGGGGGTATACTGTACCCAGCGTTACTGCTGGAGAAGCAAGTCACCATGTTATTATATACAAAGTCCTTCGTGGCCACCCACATATCTAAAGGGCTGTCTATCCCAACAGGCCCTGCTGTGTTCTTCTGAGTGAAGCCTTCTGATTGGGATGCTCTAGGTAAGATCAGCAGCTTCCTGTGTCTAAGCACTCTCTGTGGAGGCCCCACCTTGTGCAATGGCCTACCTGAGGAGGTCAGGGAGGCTCCTGCTCTTCTATCATTCCACAGAATGTGTAAAACAAAACTGTTCTGGAATTTAAATGTTTCAAAGGGAACAGGAGTGTAGTAAAACAGATGTACAAAAGAGCACCTTTTATATTGGGAACAAGGCAGTAGTTCTAAATGTCTCTGAACATTTTAGCCAGCCCCCCCACTAAAACTGTTTTGTTTATGGAATATATTATTATTATGGTTTTTTCCTTTTCTATTGCGGTAATCCAATATTATTGCCTAAGGAAAGGGACTATAAATGAAGTAAACAAACTTTGGAAACAGTGGTGTGTGCTAGAGGATGCTTGGCTTGGGATCTCCTAATAGTTTGTGGAACTGCCCAACTTTTTGTGATTGGACCCAGTCCCTTCCCCCCATGGTAGCCATTTTTCGATTGGTCCCGTCCTGTGGCAACCATTTTGTCATGGTGCTCCGTGCCAGTTTTCATGCGGAGTGTCAGAGTGGCTTACAAACTCTTATCCCTTCCCCTCCTCACAACAGACACCATGTGAGGAAGGCAGGGCTGAGAGAGCTCTTTCCAGAACTGTCCTTGAGAGAACAGCTCTGACAGAACTATGGCTTGCCCAAGGTCATCCAGCAGCTGCAAGTGGAGTGTTAGTCCATATCAGTAGCCTAGAAGGAGAATCCAATTGGGAGCAGATTCCAATTAGTGAGAGAACGTCTTGGAAATTTTAGTCCTGAATAAGATATATTGGATATTAAAACACAGAAAATTATGCTTGCTTTAATGTCCCAACCATGAAGAAACTGGGGGTGAAACGAGCATTTCAAGTCGACTGCTTGTTGCCAGGACCTTTGCTAACAGTGCTGAGCGCTAAGAGTACATATACGGAAAATTCCCTTCGGACTGCCCATTGAAATACATGAGAGGATTGTTACAAACATTGGAAAAAGTGGTGAAGTCCTGCTTTGGGAGTCTCCCCAGTGGCATACAGCGACACAATCCTACAGCCACGAGATTTCTTCAAGGATTTATGTGGTATCCCTGCCTTGGAGCACCATTTGAAGGACTTGGTTTGATTTTGGTATTGAATATTATGTATATTTGACTCATTGTATATGATTGTCATGTAAGTTATATGATTGTAAGTATTAAATTATGTACAGTTTGGTGTAGTGGTTAAGTGCACGGACTCTAATCTGGGAGAACCGGGTTTGATTCCCCACTCCTCCATTCGCACCTGCTGGATGACCTTGGGCAAGCCATAGTTCTGGCACAGCTGTTCTTGAAAAAAGAACAGTTTCTGTCAGAGCTCTCTCAGCCCCACCTACCTCACAGGGTGTCTGTTGTGGGGAGAGGAAGGGAAAGGAGTTTGTAAGCCGCTCTGAGACTCCTTTGGGTAGTGAAGGGCGGGGGATAAATCCAATCTCTTCTTCTAAATTATGTAAGACCGGAAAATAGCATTAGAAAACGTTATTAGTAATTTGGTGATGGTAACTTTTGTTCTAGTTATAGGCTGCAGATTTATGCCTTTTCTCCTTCCACTGTTCTGGCATCATTGCTTCAGGGTCGTGTTGCCCATGTTGGGAAGTTCCTGGATATTTGGGAGGTGGAGCCTGGGACGCTGGGCTTCGGAGAGGGGAGGGACCTCAGCAGAGCATAATGCCTTCGAGTCCACCCGCAAAAGCAGCCATTTACTCCAGGAGAACTGATCTCTATACTGAAGGTCAGTTGTAGTTCCAGGAGCTCTCCAGGCTCCACCTGGAGCCTAGCCACCCTAGGATAAGATGCAGTCTGAGCTTTCGGACCTGCATCTGGAGGAGGGTGGGCCAACCTACTTTTCCGGTGCTGCTTTTCATCCTGAGGGTTTACATCTGGGTCCATCCGAGCAGGGCTGCAGTTTGAGCCTACAACAGAGAGGGAGAGGAAAAGGAAGCACCGTTACTTGTTTAATTAGTGGGATGTTAGGAGACGGTTCATTAAGGGGCGGGGGATAAAGTCTGAGACTGGAAAGCAACTCCCCTTTGACATGCAGTGGAGGGAGAGGGAGAGGTTTTTTATTTAAGGCCAAGACGGTCTTCTGGTTTCTCCCTGGTTTCATACTGCTGTGGTTAGAAATAAATGACAAATTAGAGCATCACTCAGCAGTCTGTCCATCAGCTTTCCCAAGGCTTTGGCCACTTGGAACAGCAAAGGCAACCCTTTGGTGGGCCTTTTGAGTTGGAGCCTTGGCTCAGGGGCAATGTTCCCTCTAAGCTGTGGAGTCTTGTGAGCAAAAATTCTACTTTGAGAGCTACTGGCACTAAAGTTGTGAGCGAGCAACTTGGCTGCTGCATAACTTAGTTGGCTCTGGAGCCCTCCTTCCTGAGTTAAGACAAAAATGTGTGAGCTGGAGGCTAAAAAACTGTGAGCTAGCTCACACTAACTCAGCTTAGAGGGAACACTGCTCAGGGGCAGAGCGCACACTTTACATGCAGAAGGTCCCCAGTACAATCCCAGGCATCCCCATTAAAGGATAGCCAGTACTGGGAATGACCTTTCTCAGCCTGAGACCCTGACTGCTAGTCAGGGCTCAGGGGATCAATGGCCTAATCTCTAATCTTCTGATGCTCCTGTTTCCATTGCTTGGTTCAGCTGGCAACTTCGTTTTTGCAGAGCTTAAGGCCAGACTCGGGCATGAGACATTGAAAAGAGCATCATAAGAACGCCTGCTTTCATTGTTTTAAATAAAACACCTTTCAAGGACTGAGGGTTGCAATGATGCACCTGAGTATGTTTTTCAATGTGAGCGGGTGCAGTTTCCATCACAATTATTCTTTTTTTATTTGCTGCGTCTATGCCCCACTTTTCTCCCCAGTGGGACTCTGAAGCAGCTTACATCAGTCTCCTCTCCTGTTTTATCTTCACAACATCTGTGCAATGAGGTTGGACTGCGATGAAGGAAAATACCTCGTTCAGTTACGAGGAAGCAGATTGTGGGTCCAGTGCATCAGGACTGATAAGTTTCTCAGATACAGCCTGTGTGGTCTAGTGCTTAGTGATGGACTATGACTGTGGAGAACCGGGTCCTGATCCCTGCACAGCCACAAAGCCGGCTGACTTGGGCCTCTCACTCTGTCACTTACTTCATCTATACCCCGCCTTTCTCCCCAAAGTGGCTTACATCATTCTCCTCTCCCCTGTTTTATCCTCGCGACTGCCCTGTGAGGTAGGTTAGGCTGAAAGTGTGTGACTGGCTCCTGATCACCCAGAGAGCTTCCACGGCAGAGTGGGGGCTCAGACCCAGGTCTCCCCGATCCCAGTCCCGACACTCTAACTATTGCATCACACTGGCTATCTCTCATGGCACCAAGCTGCACCTTCTGTCTTCTGTGCAGCCATTCAAATCCCAGGAACCTTTCCCCCTGCCACATTTGAACACACTGAGCCTGGGCCAAACTTGGCCCCTCAGTTCAGAGGCAAGAAAGCAGGCAGGAGGTATTCAACAATCAACATCTGTCCAAGCCCTTTCTCAAATGGAAAAGGAATTAAGTATAAGGTATACAAAAATTATCTTTAAAAAATCCTATGCCATTATTAACTTCCTCTCTTAGTTGTCTCTGGTAAGATAAATTGAAAACTATGCTAAATATTAAGCCCTCTGTCAAGAACTTGATTCAACATTGTCTTTCTTTTGTATTTTGTATGCTTTTTTCTGTTATCTCATTTCTACGTTTTTATGTTCTGTAATTTAGAAGGTTCTTTCTTCTTCGCTTGTTTGTCTTGAGAGGTGGTCATTCCTTTTTAGGTGGCAGTGATGGCAGAGGGTTACAGGGGTGTTTTGGGGTTTTATATTTACAAAATAATGCATGGTGTAGAGAAAACGGACAGAGTTCTTCTCTTTCTAGGGATTAATCCTGTAGGCGAACCAGTGTGATTTAGCAGTTAAGAGCGTCAGTCTAGAATGCAGGTTCAGATCTCCACTCTGCCTTGGAAATTGCTGGGTGACCTTGGGCCAGTCACACAGTCTCAGCCTAACTTACATCCGTGTTATGGGGATAAAATGGGGGAAGGGGAGAATGTTGTAAGCCACTTTGGATCCCAACTGGGAGGGAAAGTGGAATATAAATGAAGTAAGTAAACACAACTCCAGTGTGCAGAAGCAGTGTAGTGTCATCAAGGATGATCATTAGAGCTAATGCAGGTAGTTGGCAACAGAGTAAAGTTTATTTCTGAGGAAGCCTTGTGTATGAGGAGCAGGTTAGAAGACCTGAAGTGCAGAGCAAGCTGTACATTGCTGGAGTCTCATCAGCAAGCAAACCACGCCTACCCAGCCTTATCCCCTTATTGCAATATGAGGTTAATAATAGTGGTCCATCTTACATGTTAAGGGGTGCAAAAGTGTTTAGAACACGTATACACCTCAGGCATTATTCATTATATGAGTAAATGCTACGTATTCAGTTTATTTGGTTCGGCCCATAAAGCACGACAGAACCACTACGTACATGAACGTATATAGAAGCCGGTTTTAACGAGCGACGTTCTCCACCGCCAAGCACATGTTGGGCAAAGAGAAACCTACAGCTCCCATAAAGTATAGCGGCAGGGAACTAAGACTCCAACTCCCATGATGCCTTTATATGAAAGCCGAACGAGACTACAAATCCCATCAAGCCTAGGCAAGGGATGGGCAGGGCCCCGCAGCTCCTTCTTTATTCCCCAAAACTCGCCTTTGGGGTGTTGCCTGTCAGAACTACCGCGCGGCAGCTGCTGCAGCGACCGCCGATGCGAAGGCTTTCCTCCATCCATCCATCCAACCAACCAACCGCTAACTAGAGACTATGCGCATGCGCACGTCTCCTTCGAGTCGTTACTCCTTGCGCAAGCGCAGAGGTTTTCACCACGCCTCGTTTGGTTTTGCTGTACGCATGCGTTTCGAGGCGTGGCCACGCAAGCGCGTTCCTTTAACCCTCTACAGCGGCTTTGCACGCGCTGGAGTGAACAAACGGGGCGGGGAAGTCTAGCCCGTTACCCTGTCAACTAATCTTGCTTGAAGAGGAGGGGGCGGGGCTCCCGTGACGGAGGCGATTTCTCCATTGGTCAAGGCATTCGCAGTGCCTGAGCTGATTGGCGAGGTGCCCCTGAGAGAGTGTTAGGTTGTCCGAGCGCGGTGAAGCGGCGGTTTTTCCACACTCCGTCCCCTAGTCTCCTCCTCCTCCTCCTCCTCCAGAAGGTTCTGCGCCGGTTTCTTCGCTCTCCTCGCCGCGAAGATGATGGGCCCACGCCCCGTCCTCGTGCTCAGTGAGTCGGGGGGGAGGGATGGGAGGGAGCGAAAGACCTTCCCTCTCGTTTTGGGGGCCCCCAACTGGCCCTTCTCTTTCACCGCCCTAAAAGACCCCCCCTCCGTGTTCTACCTCCTTACGCCGCGCTTCACTCTCAGTCCCTTCTGATTCCCCCCGTAAATATCCGCGATAACCTTTTGCTTCATTTCCACCTCTCCCCCAGGAGGATTTGCCTCATAATTCCCTGCACCCCATCTGTTTCTCCACCCAAGCTGATTCTTAGGCATTCCCTTGATAGCCCCCGCACCGTACTCGGTATCCCAGGTTATCCCTTACGTCTTTGACACCCACCCCCAAATGTGTATGGAGAGGCCGCCCGGATCCCCCCCCCCCCAATCTCCCCCCCAATTCGCTGTCGTTATCTGCCTCAGTTATTTCCCCCCAAGCGTGTATTGAGAACTTCCAGGGTATGGTGTCATCGCCTCATTCTTTTTCTTGCCAGCACCTGTCCTCGCACCCACTTCCATGCTTGTGAGTTCCCCGTCTCCTTTGTCTGTGCTGTGCCCGTTGCTTTTTAGGTGCGCCCCCACCCCTTCACATTTCGTTCAAGCCCCTTTTACGTGGGCCCAGTTTCACATTGTGATCCGCTGCCATTCTCTCCATAATCTCATCCTCCCTTTTGTGTCTGCACCCCCAATGAATTTTTGCCTGTGAGTGCTTTATTCTTCCTCCCCCCCCCCCCCGGTCACTTTCTTGTATCATGTCTATTTGGGATCCTCACTGTACCAAAAACAATATTTTTTTCCGTGTTAAAATCTAGTCTAGTCACTTCTTCCAAAGTTATCATATGACTATAGAGTGCTTCCGATTTTCTTTCACTTTATTTTATTTAAAAAGTGCACAGAACACTACAGAAATGAAAGGGTTTCTGCTTTGAGTCCTGCCCCAAAGACTTTTCCATCGCCTCTGGTTGTTGCTGCAGTGTGTGGAGAGCATTCCTGTTTTGATTTGGTTGGCCTCCAGTACTCTCCTTGAGTATTGCATTACGCCACTGTTGCTGTGCCACTTTGGGTCCTCCTTCCTTCCATTCATAAAAAAGGAATCGAAATGAGATTTGATGCAGCAGTAGATTTATTGAGCACAGGAAATCGCCTAATATGGTTGTGGATCCCTGGCAGGGAACACAACACATGTGGGCAGCCAGTTACGAGTTGCCAAGATGCTAGAGGGGCAGCAGCAAAGATCTGAATTAGACAAAGTGGCATTAGTTGAAGTGTGTTTAAGAGAGGAGAGAACAGAGCATCAGATCAACTTTTTGGCTTGCCACAGAGTTTCTATTGCAGGTATAGACTTTGTGAGATAATTGGGCACCTCTCAATTGACAGGCAGTAGCAGTTAGGTTTCCCTTGGTCATTCCCATGATATAGATGGGTTTCTGGAAAGGAGAAGAGAAGAAAAGAAAACTAGTAGACCATCGGTGATGGTTTTCTTAACATAGTCTGTTTGCTTTCCTAGCTGTTTGCTGGAGAAGGATTGCTCTTTAAAGCCTATTAACCAATAGTCTTTTATTCAATAAGATCAATGGTTTGGGACCCTCATATTTATGGGACCACCTCTGCTGTTACAACCCCCCAACACTCCCTTTGGTCATCATCTAGGGGCCTCTTGCAGGTGTCTGACCCCAGCATGGCTCAGTTAGCTCTCACCAGGGGAAGGGCCTTCTCAGTTGTGGCCCTCACCCTATAGAATGCACTCTTGGATGACACTTGTGCCCTACCGGACTTGTTTAGTGTCTGCAGGGCATGCTAGGCTGAGTTGTTTAGGTTGGCCTTTGGAGGATAACCACATGTTTGGGCTGTTTTAATAGTGGTATGATCGTCACATATTTTAATGTTAACATTTTATATTTGATTTTATGCTGTTTTTACCTTATTGGTTTTAATGTTGTAAGTCACCACGAGTCCCTTCAGGTGAGCAGCAACTAAAAAAATCGAATAAATAAATAGAATTCTGATTTAGGGAAAGCAAGTGTTCTGCAGTGAAAGGAGTTTTTTTTAAAAAAAATGTGTTTAGGTTATTTTTTTCACACTGGGTATGTGGATTGTGAAGGTATCCTATGTACTCTGGGTCTACCCAGCATTAGCCATAAGCTCCCAGGTGACCTTTGGCCAGTAACCCTTTCTTGCTCTAATCTGTTTCATTGGATTATTATGAGGATAAAATGAAAAGAGAACCCTGTATGCCATTCTGAGCTTGGGGAAAGGGGCACGGTAAAAAATGTGACAGAACGAAATATTATAGAATGTGCAGATTAATTTGCCTGTCACACCAGCTTGTCAGAAAGAACTTACTGCATTATTGAACAAATAGTGTGGTCCACCCCCTGTGCAAGTGCAGCAACATTAAAAAATGGGAGCATCATGAGTAACTCTGTTGCTATTTAAGGTAGCTTGGATTTTTGGCCATATAATGGGGTGGCAGATCAGTGTGTTGAAGGGGAAGTTACTTGCTTTGTTTCTTGTAAAGGGTTGTGGAAGATGGTGGCTTGTATCCAACAAGATCCACTTTTGGAATGCATCACATGGAATTTTCTCTGCTTTTTCCTTTTGCTGCAGCCTAGTGAGCTCCCCCTCCCTTCAGTTTTGTTCATATAGGGTCAGCATACCCTTAGGAACAATATAGGGGGAAAATGGGGATCTGCAGTGGGAGGGAAAATTGACAGAAATCACTGCTTCTCTCCCAGAGCTGGAAGTGCCCTTAAGTCTTTGGAGCTGCGTGGCTGGGATTGGTGGATTGTCTTTTTTTAGAAAATGAAAACTTGTCACAAATGTTGTTGTTCTAGTAGTAATTTCTGGTTTTGTACCATCAGCGTACATGAATAAGCAAAAGAGAAAGGTCCTTGTCTCAAAGAAAGGTCCTTGTCTCAAAGAATTTATGATCTAGCTTCTGAAGGCTGACCATGGGCAAGGAGGCATTGCTGCAGCCAGGGTAACAAAGAATGGATGTGAGCAAATGCAGTTATATATACTCATGCTTTGTTGCAAGTGGAGGGATGCAAATTGGGGTAAGGTGAAAAGATTTTGAGGAGGAATTTAGATCATGTGGATGTAGTAATCTCTGCTTTTCCCCATTCTTTATTTGTTTTAGGTCAGAACACAAAGCGTGAGACCGGGAGAAAAGTCCAGGCTGGAAACATTAATGCTGCTAAGGTATGCTTTCTTGACGTGAAACATTGGAAACGCAGCAAGGAGAGAAATGTAGTTTGTCTATTAGTTATTAGTCTGCCAAGTTGCAGTATTAAAAACTGATCTGTAGCCAGACTACTTTATAAGCAGTGGGTTGGATTCTGTAGATCTCTTTTGCTAATGGTGGCAAAGTACTGCTCAAGGTGGCTTAAATTAACACAGTATAACAATACCAAAAGAAGTCATTAGACATAAACAGCGTAAAAGCTATCCATAAAACAGACCATTTTAAAAGCTGGTAAAGGCACACGAAGCTTATACCTTGAATATAAGTAAAACCTGTGATTAAAAGCCTGGGTAAAAAGATGTGTTCTGGCCTGGTGCCTGAAAGAAAGTAAAGTAGGCACCAGCAAGCTTGAAGGGGTGGAGCGCATTCCAGAAGTGCGATGCCACTGCAGAAAATGCCCTGTCTCTAATTGCCACTCACAGAGAGTCGGGCATGAGGGCCAGATCTTTCCTGGCAGTCTGGATGGTAAGGGAGAAGATGGTCCTGAAGGAGTCTGTAGTGTTCAGCCTGTTGCGTCTGAATACAATGGGGGGTTGGCAGCTATAAGGGATGGATAGAGGAGAAAACAGGAGGAGGGAGAATTCAGTTTCAACTATGAGAGCTGCGTAGAATTTGCAAAATCTTCTGCCAACCCATATTTGCTGTTTACTGTATGAACTCTTTCAGAGAATAGCCATGTTGGTCTGCAGTAGAACAGTTAGATTTGAGTCCAGTAGCACCTTAGAAAGGTGAGGACGCTGAGCTGCAGACTGGAAGGTTGGTAGCTCAGCAGTTCAAGATCCTAGTGCCGTGTGACAGAGTGAGCTCGCCCCAGCTTCTGCCAACCTAGTAGTTCGAAAACAAGAAATTGCAAGTAGGTAAATAGGTACCACTTTGGTGGAAAGGTAACAGCGTTCCGTGCACCTCAGCATTTAGTCATGCCGGCCACATGACCACGGAAACGTCTTCGGACAGCACTGGTTGTTCGGCTTGGAAACGGAGATGAGCACTGCCCCCTAGAGTTGGTCTCAACTGGCTTTTGAGCAGGGGAAACTTTAACATTTATTTAGCACCTTAGAAACTCTTGTTGGACTCTAAGGTGGTACTACTGGACTAAAATCTGTGTATGAACTCTTATTGATTGCGCTGGTCAGTTTATTCCTGAGAGCTTCTTTAAGTGACTCAATATTCTAAGAGCATTGGCCTTGCTTCTATCTCATCAGGCTGTTGGGGAGGCGGGAGAGATCTCTCTCCTCAATTTACTCAGTAATATTTTTCTGTATATCTGTCACTCTGCAGCGATGTGGAAACTCCTACTGTGTCTGCA